TAAGGATTTGATTAGAATTTGATTAGAATTTGATTAGGATTTAAGATTTTATTAAGGTTTAGTTGGAATTTTTTTAGGATTTTATTATGATTTATTGAAGGTTACAATATAATTTGATTAGGATTCAATTATGATTTCTATTTTTAATATTTTTGTAAGTTTTCTTCATTATATATATTTTATTAACATTAATTTATGATTTCTTTATGTTTCTTTTATAAGTTCTTGAAACTTCTTTTGGATTTAATTAAAGATTAATTAATATTTATTGTAACTTAATTAAAGTTTTTTTATGATTCTATTAAGGTTTTTAAAGTCATCTTCTTATAAGTTCTATTTTTCTTTCTATAGCTAGGTGTCTAATATATTCTCAAGCAAACTTCATGTAATACAATACTACTACATCTAATGTTGACACACTCTTGATCCAACATTTATATCCATATTGAATTTTAGATCAATATCATTGATGAATTTTTAATTGTTACTATGCTTGAATTCTTGATTGATACCTTCGCTGAATCATTAATTGATATCTTGGTTGGATCCTAAATTCTTAACTAATATCCTATCTAGGTTTTCTATTGATATCTTTTTTTTATTCTTGATTGATATCTTTGTTATGCTTGATTTACTTGTTATGTCTATACTTGATATATTTGTTGTATTTGTAATTAATGCATTTATTGTGTTTGTAGTTGATACTATTATTGCATCTATAGTTGATATCTTTGGTTGTTCAAAATTTAATACCATTGATTCTTCTTGAGTTTATAGCCTTGATTCTTCTAATATTAATGCCTTTACTTCTAATAAAATTGATATATATATATATATATATATATATATTTGTGATAGTTGATATTCTATTAGTTGTAGTACTTTATATATTATAATTTTTCATACATAATACTTATTTTGTTGTAGTTGATACTCTTTCTACTGCAATTGATATCTCTGCTAGAATTATTGGCCATAAATCTTCAAAGATGGACTATAATTTTTCCTCAGTCTTTCATAGAATTTTCTTTGTTGTTTGTTAAACCTTGTATTTGTATTATTTTGTTATCTTACATAAAGTAAGTTCTTTCTTTAAACTATCAATGTGATCATATAACAATTAAACTTGCTTAAGTTTGAAGCCATTGTTTACTTTGAGATTGTCTAAAAAATTTGTAATTTCATTTTTCTCTCATTTTAACAATTAGAAGATCGATAATATACTTAAATTTTTCTTCTGGTTTATAATTGTCAAGTATTGCATGTAGATTTCATTTACTTTTTTTTCTCATTCAATTGATGTTGTTAATGTAGGAATGTCTTATCTATTTCTTAAATAATTTGACTATTTGTTATGATCTTCAATGCACTATTTAAATAATTATTTAATATTTTCTACCTTAGAACTTTCAATTTTTTTTACTTCAACATCATTACCTATATTTGTAGATTGTTTCATTTATTTTTTATTCTTTTAGATATTTTTTTTCTTCACTATTGCCAACTCTTCATTTTTTGCTGAATTATTTTTATTATTAATATCTTAGTGATATTGATAGTTGTAGTCATGTCCCTTCCTTCATTCAACAGAGCAAGTTCTTATATGTTGCTTATTTATTTTGGTCCATTTGATGTTGTTCAATAATTATCAATGACACATGATTTTTGGCCTATACTTCAAAACAAAATTTCTTCTTGTGTGATGTCATCTAGATTTGATCTATCACTTTGTGGCTTTGTGGGTGTTTTGCTTTCTTAGGTCCTTGAGTATACAGTAGGAATTATAGTTCTAAATATCTTTTTTTCTTCCACTAAATAATCTTCTTCTTTCTTCCTACTAGTAATGGATTATTTTGTTCTCTATATGTATTCTTTCCTAGGTACACTTATTAAAAATCCTTGTATGTTAGCATTGTCAATGGAGAACAGTTAGTACCTTTTACTTTTCTTGTTTTTCTATAGTATTCTTCTCACACTTCTAAAGACTTATCAATTATTATAGCAGCAACTATATGAATATAAAGACCTTTATTCTTTGTTTTTATTTCTTCTTCAATTGATTATTTCTTATTTTTATATTTATTCTAATTTTTTAAATTTAATAAATCAATAAATTAATATGCATACTAAAAATTGTTTGTACAACATTGTCATAAATTTTCCTTTGCTATGTCCAAATGCATTGCAAGTCGACCTTCAAATTGTCCTTAAAAATAGTAGATCAATTTATTTGTTCTCCATTCAAGGCTCTTTTCATCTATTCTATCAAGGATGTAGAAGCATTAGTTGTTTGTCTCTTGAAATACAATGCAATGCATAGAAATTGAATAACATGTTGTCACGGACATATACATTTACCTCAATAGTTACTTATATGATTAAATAGAAGTAGATAAATATAGAATAATTTCATAAAGTTTTCTAAAAAAGCTTCCTAGAAGTTTCATAGAGGCGGTTTTGACTTTAGATGTGTTTGTAGGTTAGAAACTTGGCCAAAAAGCTAACCATATATTGGTAGTTTGTGGAACAAGTTATCTCTGTGTAGTAGCTTGTAGAACAAACCAACTATGTGGCACATACATAGATAACTTGCCTTGCAAGATAAGACATGTGGCTAGCAAAGCCAACACATGTTAGAGGTCCTATAGGACATCGCCATGTAGCTCTTAGTTAGATAGTATATATGGAGGCAAGAGTGAAGCCTTCTTCACTCTTATCAACTCTTTTCTAGTTTTAGTCTTTTTTCAAGACTTTCTAGTCTTTTTGTTTTTGGCAATAGCCATTCTAATTAATATTACATCATCTTTTGAGTGACTTTCTAGTTCTCTTTAGTAATAGAAGAGTGTATTGAGGATTCTCTTTTTTCGAGATTCATGTCCTTGACACATGTTAAGCTGCTTCAAACTTATAAGTAAAAATGTTCAAAGTAATAGCTTTACAATTGTCTTTTTCTACCAAAGGATATAATAGAATCTTGTGTTTGACATAGATTAGAGTATTGTACATCTTCTAGAAATAAAATGTTATTTTGTACAAAACATTATGTTGTAATGACACAAAATTATAATTCTTCCCTTAAATAATACTCCTATCGTGATTTTCTTTGATATTGAATAAAACTTCTCTCATTATACTTGTTTGTATCTTGCTTCTCCAATTTACTTCAATAATACTTCAATTGTGATTTTCTTTGATATTGAATAAAATTTCTCTCATTATACTTGTTTGTATCTTGCTTCTCCAATTTACTTAGTGCACAAAGCTTTTTGAACCCAATTCTATCCACACAATATCCAACAGTGTAGATTATTATATGAACAGTTCCTAAAGTATTAGGTCTATTGTTGCTTTGTCTTGGACCCAATGAATTAGAGACTTAATGTGCAATGTGTCTATTTCTTCATTAAAATTTTGGCTTTTTGCATTGGGTTTACCTTCTTTATGTCAAGAACAAGTTGGGGCATTCACGAACTCTACTTCGGGGCAAAGACGAACACAGGCAGTAGCGGTGTCGGTAGAGCTCACGGTTCCACATTCCCGAATGAAGCAGACACACCACCGACATCGTGATCCGGAACTGGAATCGAACGCCGCCTCCGTGGCGGAGCTCCCGACGCCACCCAGATGCTGCAGGAGCCCCCAAATCATGAACTGAACGAACCCCCGAGGTAGCGGAACCGACACCGCCACGGATCCGGCCGTCACAGAACCGGAAACTGATAGCGGCAGTGCGCCGATACATCGATGCAGAGCATTTCGACATCCTCCTCGTTAGTATCGGTGCACTAGGACTCATCGAAATGGATCAAAACCTGCATGGTCTCTGCGGATCGTCCACTGGATACATCTGCCAGCGACGTCGACACATCGAGCAGATCCCACCAGTTATCGGTCTCGGCAGTGTGGTGTTGTAAGCTACGATGATGTATCCTTAGCTTTTGCGGGAAGTTCAATTGTCTCCAGCTGAACTATTCGAAGGGATTGGCTTCTAAGAGTGAGGTCCTTGATTGAGGAATGTTGCCACAAACCGTCCGCGTCGAACTACGAACGACTTTGATTGTGGGTGTGTAGATCTGATTGTGTGGATTCCACAGGGTGATGAACAATAAGCAAATGTGGAATGAACTTCAACTGACGAGGTTATCAGCTACGATATGAACGACATTTAATCTACAGAGGAGAGTGTTGTGTTAGGAACCTCGATCTCCTACTAGGTGTTCACCTTGCAAGTTCGTGAAGGATGTACTGCAATTTGGGAGTTTGAAGTGCCAACGCATGGTTGGAATCAAATCTGTGGACGTCAGTCTTTGCAAGCCGCACATCATGATTTGCGTGAGCATCAGTGAATGAAGAGCAGATCAGGCTATCTGTTTGCGCAAGCTTTGAAGAGAGTACGAGAGAATGGAGTCTAAACCGGAATCCATCTTCGGAAGATCTGCGAGCTGGTCGGAGACTGTCGTGATAGAAATATTTTTACGCCATCAAACTAGCTTGAGCTTTGCTAGTTTCCTGGTTGCAAACATCCCGGGGATCTGACATTAGTTCCTTCAGTCCCAAGAACAGGTCGTTATCCTTGGGGTCAGAACATTCTTGAAGGGGTCACCTATCTTCACACCGCTGTTACTACCTTTCGGTGCCAGGCTACTAACCAGTCTGTGGGTTCTCTGTATTTTAAGAACGTTGTGTAGACACGTTTCTATAATGCTATTACAGTCACTTCCTTACAAGCAATGTAGAGCCTCGCTCGAACCCTATCGCTCATTGTAGTGTAGATTTATAGCCTATGTGCAATGAGTAGATTCACATAGCTGTTGCAAACGCGAAAGCACGAACAAGTTCAATTCCTTTGACTAACCAATGTCATCGACTATCAAAGACGTTCAACATTTATAGCGCAATGGGGGCGGGGGGATGAGCTGCGCAGAAGAAAAGAACGTAATTGCCGTTAACGAGACCATTTGTAATATATTGGAGACGAGCAACGGACTAAGATTCTCCTCCTAATCCTGACAAGCGAGGATTCAGCTTTACCGAGCATGGGTTTAGCGTCCGTCTGTCAAGATTCCTTTCCTCCTTCCCGTGTGTCGTCATCAATCTGGTGTGGCGAACAAGACTGTGCCCTAAGCTACAATTGGATTGGGCATATGGCAAAAATATCCTTTTCAAAGTTCCTGTCGTTATTGATTCCGTATGTAGCGTCTCTTGGTCACAACTAGTTCCAACTGTCTCTTTGACTGAGAACCTGGCGTTTACACCTGGTGATGCTGGACATTCGCGGTGGGATTAGGAACTCTTCATTGGAATGTCGCCTTCGGCGTAAGAAGTTTGAATTCAATTTGCAGCTGAGCGATTGTGGACCCAGTTCTGTACCTCTATGATTAGATGCTTGTCAAGGCAATCCGCTGCAAAAACCTATCAATGACAACCTACATCACAGTGTAGTATTGCGTTGGTGGCTTCAGAGTTCATGCTGCTGGAACGCCAGGAACAATTCACTACGACAACATTGACTTGGTGGGGAGGCTTAGGGTTTCGTCCGACATCAAGCCACCCATCTCCGGTCGTGCGACAGAAGTCGAAGACGGTGGTAGATAGAAGTTTCAATCGGCAACTATTAATTTTTTTTTTAACATCAAAGACTAAGTCTTGCAAAGGAAGCTTTCCACTTGTCTTCATTTATTTGTTTCGATCGTTTTGTTTTGTAATAAAGCCAACTCCAAGTCATGGGGTCATCCTGAAACCATGTCTTTATCGTCAAGCTTGGTTGCCCTGAATTTTCAACAGAAGAGAACCTTTCCTTAAATTGTTTTCGATGTCACAACATGGAACCATTCTTAGGTGTGAAGTTTCTCTCCAGCAACACACTTTCTGTATGATCAGTATATGTAGTAAGCAACACAGTAGACCTACCGACACAGTCAGCGAATCCTTTTTAGTGTGCTAATCTCCTAATCTTGCTTCGTGTCTACCTTAGAGGAAGACGACGCTGAGTGTAAGGTGCGACGAAACTCAATAACGAATGCCTTTCTTCGAACCCAATTTTTTCCAGTGGCGGCAGAAGACGAGTGGGAGAGACGGCTGGCGCTGCGATCCAGTCTCCGCTTGGTTTCACGCGGTGGCCCACTCTGTCAGCGTAATCCTTCAGGCTTCACGAGTACCATGTCCGTGAGGAATATATTGGAAAGACGTCGACGGATGTATCACACATGGAGTGTCCCGAGACGGTAAACATGTGTGGATTTGGAGTCTCACTTTTTGTCGAAAGCGGAGGGATCCAAAGCTCATCTGTCGGGCATGTTCCCGTCAGATAACGAGCACTTCAATTGCAGCCAACTCGAAGATACTCAACGCTTGTCCCCTTCTCTCCGTTTGAATACTCCGTGTTGGGGGCCGGCAGTTTGCCGGTAATCATCGGAAGTGGTAAAAGCTTTCTTGGTGCGGGGCTCATGGGACCGCGATTAGCTCTTTTGGATCCCACTCTGGTCGGTGTTTGATTTTTCAGACAGTTGCCAGACTTCACCGTCACTGATAAGATAGGATCAGTGCAAGACTGGGGTAGGTGCTACGAGCCCCAGCACAGCCGGTAGGCTCCTCTCGCCAGAGATTTGAGATTGTTCTTATAGAGATTCAAACCCTCTTCTCGTATTTCTACTTGCATGGTTGAGAGTCTGTGATAAGCCTCTAGAGCGCCATTCACCCTTGATAAGCTGCTTGAAAGGTCTGTTTCTGTGCAGGCAATTCGTCGAATTTCGGGGTTCTTCTATACTTCCTTCATCTTCTCGGAGATTTTAGGTTAGGTAGTGCGTCTTTCTGCCTTCAGTCAGCAGAATCCTGATTGATTTCCTTCTGTTTTGATTGGGTGCGGACATTTCTCAAGAGAGGGTAATCTTTGTGTGTAGGGCGGCGATTGAGGCTGTGAATTAGACTGAATTTCGAAACGGAAGAAATTGAAGAGTGCGACGCTGGTGTCTACAGCATTTGATACGGTCCATCGGAACAGCTTCGTCGGTGAATCTTGCAGCGTAGGATCAAGGAAGGTCAATTTTAATCCGTTGGAAGGGTTTTGAAGTTAGCGAGGTTGCTTTCGGGTTGTACGCTTCCGTAGGCTGTTGGGGGTCCTCTTGGTTGACATGAAGGGCCTTATAGAAGCGCTCCGCCGCCACCGGAGGCCCGCTCCGGAAGGATCCGTGCACTGTCATCACCAACCTTTTCCTGCTGTAGAGAATCACGCGGCGCCAGGTCCGTCGAAGTTCTGGGGCGATCATGTTAACGCTCCGCCATACCCAACGAACACTCCATGGGTGAACTTCGTACTCAAAGAAGGAACGTGCCACGAGAATTTTCACCCCTTTTTGGTGCAAGCGCAGGAAAACTCTCTCGCCATCTGCTATCCCTCAAGAGAAGCAAAGCCGGAATACATCTTTGACTGTTTCGTTGCAAATCTCACATTCCGGGTGCTGGAAAGCGGTGGATTCGGGAGCCATGTCGTGTCGAGTTATGACGATGTGAGTGTCACGCTTGATTATGCAGGCAAATTTGGAGTACCCTTGGTGAAGGGGAGTCCTTACATCACAATTTGTGTTGGTGAAGGTACTCCTGCATTCTCAACTATTCACGCCGTGGTGGGATTTTGGGCAAATTGTGAGAGGACCAAGCACCGCATCACGCTCAACAATGGGCAGACGTGGGTGGTTTACTCTTCCGTTCCTCTGCCTTTGACATGCGAGCTCGTATCCGAGAGCGAGTTCCACGGCGTGATCAGAATAACCGTCGTCTCAGCATGCGAAGAAGGCGAAGATGACGAAGCTCTGCTTGACAGGTACCGCGATTGTTACCCAATCGGCGGCCATGTTGATTTTTTCGAAAATTGCGAGGTCATCTACAAGTGGGAAACGCAGGGATCGGGGGACCTGATGATGCTTACTTTGCCTCAGCATCGGGAGATGATGTCGAAATGCTACTCGCGACCGGTTCCAGCCCTCACTTTTAGAAGTCTGGATGGCACCCTGGAGGGAGTAGTGGGTCACAAATGGGGGCTATCCGTGAAGCGCATGGAGCTCCGGTGGGGCTCCGATACAGGCATTCATGACGCTCACGCCCGAAGGCAGGTTGTCGAGGCTCTGGAAGCTGACATCAACCAGCTCTCACCGATCTCATTACCTTCCACTTATTTTCATGGCAAAGCGTTGGCTCGTGCAGCTCGTTTCGCCCTCATTGCGGAGGAGCTTCACCGGCCCGACCTTGTTCACAGGGTCATGCAATTCCTGCAAAGTTCAATCACCCCATGGTTTACTGGACAATTTGCTGGCAATGCATTGATGTATGATATCACGTGGGGAGGAATCATCAGCAGAGACGGCTCACGAGATGCGGGAGCTGACTTTGGCCTTGGCGCTTATAATGACCATCACTACCATCTCGGGTACTTCGTCTATGCAGGTATGTCAATGGCATTTCAACTTTTTGAATGGAAGTCTGGAATCACTTCCGTTTGTCTTTTTTAATGCAAATTGGGCAAGTTGTCATGTTCATCGACTCTGTGTAATTTGCAAATGTAAGATTCATCGCGACTAATGAGCCAGCTCTATTCTCCGATTCACATGTAGGCGCGGTGTTGGCTAAGCTGGACTACCGCTGGGCTCATACTTTCAAGCCCCATATGTACGCCCTCATCCACGACTACATGAGCAAAGAATATCATGAATTTCCCCGCCTTCGGAACTTCGACTGTTACACACTTCACTCCTGGGCCAGTGGTCTCACTGAATTTAACGATGGACGCAATCAAGAGTCTACGAGTGAGGCAGTCAATGCGTATTACGCTGCTGCGCTGGCAGCATTAGCCTACCATGACTTCGAGTTGGTGACTCTAGCTTCCACACTTTGTGCCCTCGAGAATCGAACTTCGCAGCTACTGTGGCATGTCCCATCTGACAGCAAGTTGTACAATCCGGAGTTTGTTGAAGCCAATCGTATTGTGTCCATTGTCTGGTCGACGAAGCGCGACTCTGGCTTATGGTTTGCAGGTTAGTCAATTTCGCAGATTGAGAGTGTACAGATCTTTAAATATAAACTCATTTTGCTGATCACTCAAAATCTTTTTGATCTTTAACACGGTTTTTTGTGTGCAGGTGCGGAGCGGCGTGATTGCAGACTTGGTATCCAGGTTCTGCCTATAACCCCTGTCACTGAGGCCATGTTTCCCGACAAGCACTACGTCAAGGAGCTCGTGGACTGGGCCACGGAATTGATCAACAACGAGAACGTCACGGATGCGTGGCGAGGTTTTATATATGCCTTGAAAGCCATTTACGACCCGAGAGCTGCATTGGAGGCTGCAACAAGTCTTAATGGGCACGATGACGGCAACTCTTACTCGAATCTACTGTGGTGGATTCACACGCGTAGAGAATCTTCTCCTCACTCATCTTAATTTTCTAAGACTCGACATGGACAAATACAGCACGCATGAGCGGGTCTCTTTAATTTGGAAACATCTCATTCCTTGCTTCCCCATGTCCAAGTAAGGAAGTTCAAGCCATGGATCGAATCACTTCACCATATGAAAGGAGACCCCCGTGATGAGAAGGATTGTTGTGTTCTATCTTGTCATACAAGAAATTTGTGTCTGAGCTGTAATCAACGATTAGTTGTGTTGCTGAAAGCTGAGCTGGCACCTCACAGTGAGACAGGACTGCTGGGAAAATCAGATAAGCTGCATGGAATTTGCTCCAACCATTCCTTGTAAGCACAACGGATGCAGTGTTTTATAAGTCTAATTTTCCCAATTTTGAATTTTAACTAAAAGCTTGCATCCTCCGGCTGTGTTGTGAGGAGGATGATATGTAAATAACTCAACAAGATCCCAAAGATAAGATGTTATGAGTGCACACACTGTAGCATCTGGATGTCTTTTATGCATTCGCTGTTTATCAAACAGGAGGCCGTTTCTCATATGATTAGGCCCACAACGATAACTTGTTTCCTGTTTCAGATTTCCTTCCTTGATCTATAAGTTACTGGGCAACCAGAACGAAAAAAAATATAAGAGGAGATTGTTAATATATTTGTTATACATTTGTTCTGCTATCGAATTGGAACTGGTTGGAGTCAAAACTGGTACCGTATATTTATCATCGAAGGCACAAAGTGTGATGGTTTTAATTAAGACATTTTGATTTTCACACAAGTCTCTCATAAGCAGAGGCATGCTTAGTGCTCCATCTAATTATCACGGGTGTACACGAAACAAGTAATGGACTACATGCAGTGAATGACGAGCCATTGGATTCAGTAGTCATCTCAGTCGATCTGTATTACCTGGTGTAGCAGACGGCTACAAATTCGGATCATAGCTGGGACTTAATGATGTCCTCAAACAAGGATTCGATACCATGACATTCTGCTGCGAAAAACGTTAAATACAACTATAAGAGCTCAAGCTTGTAGTTAACAAGCATACAAATGTACCTCAAGTAATTTTGCAGAACACCACAAAGTGTAGCATTTAGTTAGCAAGTCAGCACTCAGTCGAGCCACAGTCCAGTGGTATTCACGTCTCGTGGTACTCCGACCAGTTGCCACTGAACATAAATAGTCATGAAAATTCTCTGGTGAATGAAAGCAGCTGAGGATCGTAGTGATTTAATTAAAAACTTCCGTTGCATTAAGAAAGAGGGAGAGTGTCCTGAGGAACTTTTGTTACAAAACGTTCTCCTATGCCCAGGAGGGGATAAATGGTGTGGCTCATCATTCTACTGACTTTGTCTTCTAACTTTACAACGTTCAGTGCGCGAGTTTGTGTTGCATGATTCTGCAACAAAGCGCTGGTCATCGCTATTCCATTACCAGTAGTTCATAGTCACGCATAAATCCTTTCAACTCTACCACAACACGCAGCAAAAGCTCCAGTAATAGGCTTGCTTTTCCTGTTGTCTCTACAACTGTCTGACGCAATTAACTTCTAATATGCAGCTGGCCATGCAAAACCCAAGATAAAACAAGATGAATTGAGTTCGTAATCAATCAGGCATCCCCCGAGGGATCAAAATGAAAGGCAAAATGAGCACCTCTATTGCAGCGGCATTGGAGCTGAATAACGCAACTCATATTGATTAACCCATAAAGTAGTCTTCCACAATTTAAGTCGGGGACGTTTGACTTAGTCACATAGGCCTGACCATGAGCTAGCCATGAATCCATTCTGATATGGTGCCCTGTATAGTAGCAGCATTTCTTCAAAACCAAGGTCAGATAATTTTCCGTTTCTGCATGTTCTTCATGCGAAGCTCTTTTCACTTAAGGGTAGCTCTATTATCTACGCTGGTTCGCTACCACTCAGGGAGGGGCTCGTAGAGATAGAGCAGGAAGATGCCCAGTGCTGTAGGACGCACGAATCCCCGGAAAAATAATAGTGACAATCGTATCGTATCGGTACTTGGCATTTACACAGCAAGCACAGCAATTATACAGCAAGCATTGCGTAGGGGAGAAAATCCTCTACTTTTAGCTTCCAGAGATGGTCGTTTCGAGGTAGTGAGGCTCACTTGCTGCTTGGTGTTCAGATGCTGTGCATTCAGGGCCCTTCCACATCGCCGCACTTCCTCTGGGTATTTCAGAAGGAGCCACACGACATTACAGTGGCCTTCTCCCCGGGGTATTTTTAGGGCTGCTGAGCACGTTCCGTCTTTACAGTTGCAGTTGATATCGTTCTGCAAGAACTGGTGATCACACATCCAACAAGAGCCCGATTGATTCATAGCATTCACATTCCCTTTAGGATTCTCCGCAAATAATCTTTACAACTCCTGCTTGCCCATGTACACGACCGCAATGTATCGAAGTTAAGCCCTCGCTATCTTACACATTCACAGGTACAGAAACGCACTGCTGGAGCCTGATTACAACCGCTTTATAGCCCGCGCGGGCCGCTAGATGCAGATCAGTGGAACCATTCCCGGTTTCAGCTTCAGGTCCGTAAGAGATGGCAAGGGAAGTTACCCCAGCTCCATACCCCTGGGTGAAATTAGGATTTGTTGTGTATTTTGGTTTCTTGCTTTGACATTAACACAAAGGTTTGCACACTCGAGGAGCATGACCACCCCGCCGACGTCTCCCACCCTGACTGTCGGATGCAAGGGTGCCAGACCGACTGCATCTTTTGTGTTGACGTCGAAATACTCATAAAATAATTGTTGGAGGGAGAGCTTGACGACATCAACATGGCAGGAGGGGACATTGCAATGCAAGGGCGTTTCGAGGATTCGACCCACTATGGAAGGGCTCCTTGACTTGCAGACGTCGGGTTTCGGCAAAGGTTTGAGTCAAAAGGGTCACGGCATTATCCTGTCCGGACATGTGAAGGAATCAAGATCCTCGGTCTACGCCATTTCGCTATCCAGGCGCTCGGAGATAAGAGTCTTGGCGACAGACTGTGAGTGCCAAATGATGATGAGATGGAGCGGGGCAGTGCCAAACAAAATGTACGTGTGGCCCTCAAAGTGACCCTACTGCTTCACCATGATCGCTTTCGCGACCTCCGCGTGGCCCTGGGAGGCTGTGAGGTGGAGGTCGTCGATGCGGGACACATCAACTTCACCGCTGAGGATGAGACTCACCATGTCGATGTCGCCATTCGCTGCGGCAGCGTGTAGGGGCAACGTGTTGAAAGGAGCCGTCGCTGTATCCACTCTCTTGGCTGTGATCTCCAAAAAAACTCTTACACAGGAGAAACTGATCTGAGAGTATTTCTCCGCTGTAATAGCATATGAGACATCTTGCCACTGGCTATCTGTACTCGGAAGAAAAAGAAAAAAAAGACCAATCAAATGGAGGCTTGATGCAGGAAATTGTAAGTCGGGAGCTATTTGCGGCAACATTCTAAATTTTCGAGTTCCCCCCTGACATAGAGCTCGTATGAGAATTCCAGACTGGAATGAAGCGAGAAAAGCTTGCACTGAAAAATTTACAGAACAATAGAAAAATAAGTGAAGGTGGGTATTATTTGAATCCACGAAACAAATCGAAGGCTGATTTTGGAGCGTGTGCAGAGTACGCCTCACAAAGCCCTGAAATCCGGATGTCCTGATACCGCCCAATCCTCCTTGTAAAGAAAGAAAAGGACTATAAATCATGAATTAGGCATCGAGGAATAGTCTCGAAAAGCTTACGTTCAGCTCACAAACCCCGAGCGATCGCAGATTCCGGAAGAAGCTGTTCCCAAGTGACTTCAATCGATCGATCGAGGGCTCGATTTCGGCGCCGAAGAGCTCCGCGCGAGTACCATCGCTGCCGGTGGAGCTTCAAATCGGAGCGGGCCGGGAATGGGTAGAGGACGGGCTGAGAACGGGTATTGCTGTGCATGAATAGGATAATATTCTATGTGTACATACATATAGAGAGGCTTAGGCCACAAGCACACCCCAAATTCCTGTATGTTCATCCAATATGTCTAAACAAACACCCAAGATCTCTGATTGGCTGATTCAGATCAATGAAGAGAGTGAGGAGAGTTGGGAGGGGATTGGAAAAAGGAATTTGGATCAACCAATCAGAGGTCTTGGATATGTATATAGACATTATGGGTGTGTATAAAAGTAATTTAGAAGAAGAAAAAAAAAATAAACAAAAAATAAAAAAAACAACAATGTGGTAAAGAAAGAGATTGAAATTATACAAAGAAGATAAGGTCTTTTCTTATGTATTTTATTCAAAGCAAATTAAAACGATAAACTTCTATGTACTTGTATGTGTCGATCCAATGAAGTTTTCTTCTAATGCAGTATTTCATTATATATACATATATATATATATATATATATATATATATAGTTTTGATTAGAAAATACATGGATATTATGTCAATGTTAGATTATAAAGAATACATTATATATGCCTTTCTAATTCTAGTCTTTTCATATTATTTTATTTTCTTAGTTCTTCCTTAAATTTATTCATGAGACAATAGATTATGCTTATATGCAAAAGCTTTGATGTTAGACTTTCAGAAGATAGTAGTTTTAGGATGAAAGCAAGATAACATGGCACATTATTTAATTATTGCTAATCAAATCATATTTTGTAAGTTAGTTATATTAAAATTAAAAAAACAAAATATATATATATATAATAGAAATAAAAAATACTAAAATATAATTAAGATCGAAAAAAAATTAAAATTAAAACAAAGATTGAAAGTATGAATATAATAAAATCATACCAAAAACAAGATAGAATAAAACTAGAAATGATAATTAAAAAACAATACTTTTATTTTGATATTGGAATATAGTTATCCATGAAGAGGCATTGTCCTATAATTTTCTTCCATTATATATATATATATATATATATATATACATAACCTACAAAATAATAATATAAAGCCATAAGTATGTTGAAAAAATATGTCACTATATATATATATATATATATATATATGTATATATATATATATATAATATCATAACATTTCTACCTATAAATACATAATATGCTAATTGATAAGGTCATTAAAATATTAAAGTCAAAAAAATAGTATACCATAATAAGAATAATATATAAGATTTTCAAAGAGATTTGAATTAAAATATCTTTATAAGTCAAAATTCTTTAATTATAATTAAAATACTTTTAGAAAAAAGAATAAAAATAAGACTAATATAATAAAATATAATAAAATAATAAATCTTCCAAAAAAAATATGGAAAAATTATATTTTTATTTATATTTATTTATATTTATTATATATAAAATTGATGTCATAGTTTTATAATTAATAAAAATTGATAGCTTTTTAAATGTATTGTTTAAAATTATAGCAATTTAAATTTAGGAATTAATATTTAAATAAGTTGATTAAATTAAAATAATTATAATTTAATATTATTTATAATAAAAGAAAAGAAAAAATAGTAGTAATAATAAACCTTTAAGTTACTTTCTATTAATTGTGTAATATAAATTTATTAATAATAAAGCATCTAAATAAATAAATTATTATTTTTGTACAAATAATATATTTAAAATATGTGAATTAAAAAAATA